CGCTAGATCCCCCAGAAAGGGCAGAACCGATCGCGCAATCCTATCAATCCAGTAGGGCGGTGAGGCTGTGTATGTGGTGGGGTACCTTTCTCCGCTCTCGAAACGGAATTCCCTCCTTCCAACGCTATGGTAACCAGGGTGCCCTATTGTAATCAACTGCAAAGTGGGGTGGAAAATCTCTACCATTTGGTCCCAAACCGAGCAATGTTTGCCTACTCCACCACACCTCGGGGTCAAACATTTGGAAAACGACACTGCTCGAGATCCCGAAGCTTAGCTGGGGAATTCCACCACAGTCTTCGTGTAGCCCTGACTTAGCTCTTTCCGACAACCATCCAAACTAATCCCACAGCGGCCATCTTCTTGGTAAAAAAATACGATTTTTGATAGTACCTCGAAAATGACCCAGCTGCCTTTCTGGCCACAGAACTAAGAGGCTTCTGGAAGCAGGGCAACCACACATGCGTAGTGATTGGCAACAAGTTGCCAATGAAGGTGACATATATATAGCTGATCAAAATTGCTTCCCACTGGAATAAACTTAATTCGGAAAAAAGTCTGAAAGTGTCCCAGAACTTTTGGGACAACCTAATAAAGACTATAACTAACGATTCTTCCTACAACAAGGTGAATCATACTGAACAAATTCTCCATCTGACATAAAATACACTTGATAACAACTACAACTGAACAACTGCACATATCCTGAAGGAGAGGTGCACGTACTTTAATGTGTGAAACATGGCATGGAGCTTTACCTTTCGGGATTTTTTTTGTTTCAATATTTTCAATAGTGAGAGAACTGCCATCCAGCCTGTGTTGGACAAAAATATGATTGCCATTTTTTATCCTGCAAATGAAAAGATCTCGCCAAAAGCGCGACCTGCAACGTGTTCAGAAAAAGTACGCAGGGCACGCCCTAACCCTATGGAGTCATCTGCATGTTCATTTGAAAGTTCAAAGGACTAGCTAAACCAAGAATTGGTCTTTTTTAATGTTGGCCATTGACAGGAAGATCGCAAGTCCTCGGCAAGCCTAGCACCTAGTCAAATGTGGGCGCGAAGGGAACACACGGAATATACAACAAATTTCTCAACATGAAAGATTTCGTAGTCCGAGGAATCACTGCTACCGTGTTCCGCGCACTTGATTCAGCTCCTGGGGTCCTTTTGATTGTCGTGACATTTCGCCTATCTGCATGTGTGATGTACATCATCACACTGAGTCAGCATTGCTGGCGTCGCAGCACGTTCGGCGCATGTTGCCTGAAGTCCTAGGAAAGGAAGAGCTTCTACCAACAGTCCGGGCTCAGTTAGCAGCGGCACGCACCCGGCATGCAGGATCTCTCTGATTTCTCGACACACATGGAATGCGCTAACGTGTGAGGGTAGGCGGATGTGGGATACTCTACGGCGCCTCTGTTTGCCTTCCCCTAAACAAGGCTTCGGCTAGGAGCGCAGCCAGTCGCAGCTGCCACGGGCTGCCTTCGCAAAGCGACATTTACTGCACGACTCTCCTGACCGCGTTTTGCCGCCAAAGTACTAAATTCTTAGTCGGAAGAAAAGGACAGAGGACGGCGCAGGGTATGCTGCTTCGCTCTAATACCACGCGTTAACGCCAAAGTGAGATACTTCCTAAAAAACATATCACAAGGTAGGCAGACAAGTGAAAGAAGAAATTCTAGACTTAATAGGTGTTAAATCAACAAAAAAATCGGCGTTCCGCTTGAAGAAAACACACAAGGAAACCTCTTAATAATCTGCTGTACGAGCAACTGCTTCTGATTGGGAAACAAGCACGAATACTAAGAAATAAGCAAAATCTGCGAATTCGAGGGTGAACACCACAACTAGATAGAAGTCAAAATGCTGAGTTCTATGAGAATGCAGGAGGTATCCTTCTGCAGAGCCAAAAAATCCTAATTGTGATGGAAGCAGTGGTCGGGAAACAAAATTACTCCCATCACTGAGGAACATCAGAATAGATCATAGCGAAGTAAGCAGGGACGGTCAATGTGTTTTTCTAATTTCGATTCTTCTAGTGTGCCATTTTGCTTGAACCTAGCCTTAATCAGACTGACTATTCTCTGCGGTGCATTCGAGAACAGCCTCGTAAAGCTTTCGCGACTCTCGCAGTTTTTCTAGATCGGTACATCCTCCGACGAAACGTCCACATATGAATATCTGAACCAAAGAAATAATTGTCAAAACGCTGGAAAATTCTAGGCCAGAGGCGGAGGCAGGCGACAAGACCAACAGTGGCACCGACGCCTAGGCGTCGCCGCTTCCAAGGTCGAGTATGTTGGAGAAGTGATCACTTTTTCATTAGTAAGAATGCAACGCTAGTCTACCGCCTTGCCTTCCTATCTCAGCTGATCCACAAGCTCAAGCCTTTCCAACAGTTGGCGGATGAGAGGGCAGGAAATAGTTCGAATAGGATTCTAAAGGGGGAGGAGTCTGTGGAGCAGAAACTGTGCCTCACCTCCTTGAGTCTGTGGAGCACAAACTCTGCCTCTCCTCCTTTCCCCTCCCCCTTTCTTACGAATACACAGAAACAAAAAGGAATTCAGCGAATTCAACCGGATCACACCACGCTCAATGATGTTTTTTCCAACTGTACTAATAAAGTGCGACAACTGAACTTAAGAGAAATTGCTTACGTGGCCGTCGTCAAAAGTGACGGCGAGTTCTGCTAATATTGCGTCAGCGCTTAACAGCTCATACGGCAGAATAAGAGTCTGAGCGGGTGCAGAGAGAGCTCCGAGTTAGGGCGACCTAGTTTGTATTTTCCAGTGTTCCATAAATGAGTTGTAGTTAAGGTCCTTTGAAGCTCCAGAAGCTCACGATTGCAGGCTACCCGAAAGCTGAAGCAAAATTGCAGACTAGGCACTCCCAGGACTCATAGCGCTTAAAACGGGAATGAAACGTTACTTCGGAGTCGTGGCATCACGCGAACGAGTAGAATAATCCCTGTTTAGTTGATCAGACGGACGTGAGTACATGGGTAGCTAGTCGACTCGAGATGCAGAGAGAGTCGACGCGCTGCGCGCTGCTACGTTAAAGGCAGTTGGCACGATAAATCCCCCAAGACGAGTAGGAATAATACCTAGCAGGACGGGAAAAAATCCCGCGAACGCCGTGAGCAGGGGCAGGCGTGGCATAAGTGTCGTTTTCCAAAGGGAGGTCCCTTTATAAGGGCCGCTATCAAGGCCAAACAATTCATTGTGCTAAGGCAGATTACGGAAGCGAAAGGAATGCTATGAAGGTCGGGCCGTGATGCTGCGTGGATATATGAGTACACATATGCAGCCATACATTCCGTAGCGGTTATTAGCAAGATGCCTACGGGAAACTCGTCCAAAATCGATGTTCAAGTCATTGAGTAGGCTTTTTCTTCGCACCATTTTGACCGTTTCACTCCGTTCTTTTTCGCCATTTCCCCCATTATATAGCGCCCTACTAGCATTTTAGGTGAGGCGCCAAATCATAGTGCCATTGCCCTTTAAGGTGGATTGGGTCGCAGCGTAAGTATGCGAACGTCATCACGTTCAAATTGCCTACTTCGCTGCTGTAACTCGGAAGTAACACCCCACATGACAAAGTAATAGTATTGATTACAAAGGACTCTAAAATCTACCATCCTGAGGAGCATTGAGATCGGTTCTCACGCCCTAGTCAATATATAAATCAAGGCGAGTTGATTCGTTGGGTCTTATACACTTCATAATCGGGATTTGAGATTTCTATAATAATCGATTCCACATTACACTCCAGTAGTGATCTGAATCAACGCAGTATTCGCTATTGTCGAATGAACATACGTACAGGTAGTGGGGGGGGGACAATGGTGGGTGTCAGGCGCTTGCGTGCGCCCACAAGACATCATTGGGGGGGGCACATGGTGCGTTGCTGTGCCACATCATTTCTGTCGTTCTGCACCCTCTCGCTGAAGAGGAAAGTGGTGTGTGTGTGTATGTGTGTGTGTGTAGTGTGTGTGTGTGTATGTGTGTGTGGTGTGATGTTGGTATTTATATGTTTGTATGTACCGCTTCGAGGCTTCGAGTAGGTGACAGGGGCGAGACGCGGTAAATGGAGAAGCAGACGCAACGTGGAATAGTTGCAACGGAACCCCTAGCACTTCCCCCCCCCCTCACCACTACGGTTGCCCAAGAATTTTGAACTGCCTCATTCAAGCATTTTGAAGAACGAATTCATTTGGGGGGGGTATAAAACAAATGAGTATTATAAAAATCATATTATAGGTAGGAAAGAGCCCTCTTGTCAGGAAAAACTTACTCGATCTTCTCTTCATCGAGCAAGGTTTTAGCTCTAGTACAGAAACCACATCCATCCTTAGTGTATATCATAACAGGAGTCGAAGAGACCTGAAACATCACAGATGGTTTAGTAGTTCAAAGCTTTATTGCGATAGGCAGTATTCAAGTAGGGCAGCGTTCAGACTTCGCGACGGCAGCGCTTCGGTCGCATGTGACTGGTTATCAACAGAGGTGCCAATAAGACACTTCTCGACTTCTCCCACGAAAGAATTTTATGGTGGATAATTTGGGACCTTGGGCAGGAGGTGGTGTAGTGACAAGTGGCGCGCTTACCACTCGCGCGGTCCCGGGTTCGAATCCCGGGTCGACCCCGCCCAGGCCAACCAAGCCTTCTACCCTCCGGGGACGGTAAATTGGTACCAGATTCGTCTGGGAGGATAAAACACTGACTTGTACATCGGCTGGCCACCGCAAGTCATTGTATAGGCCACATCGCATTCAATAAGCCACTACGATTCTGAATGGAAGTAGAATGCGTGCCGCATCCCACAAAGGGATTGATCAACGGCGAAGACTTTATCCTTTATCCTTTAACTTGGAACCTTATGATTACAAGGTTGATTCCCTGTAATCGTAGACATTTCCAGTGAATGACGAGAAACGAACCTCTTTATGTATTTTGTCCACATCTACTTTCGATTCGATGGCCCCCATTATGGATCCTGAAAAAAAACTTAGGGCGAAATCTCAAAAGCTGGGAACAAAACCAGCATTAAGAAAACTAGCGAAGAACACCTGAAGGATACAAAGCAAAACAAAACCTAAATAAAAAAATAACGGTAAACAACAAGGTACGAGAAATGTTGATAAAACTCAAGCGTAAACCTACTGTAGCTGTCACGTTGTCTGCATTTGCACGAAAATGCGCGCGCTTCATATTTTCACCCCTTTTTAGGTCTTGTTTACTTCTGCAATTTTTTCGTGTATTATGGTGGTACCTTGTGCATAGATGAACGAAGTCGGATTCTAGCCCTGAAAAACCTTGGAAAAATTGCGCTCATTCGTTCTCAAGATCTCTCGCCTTTAATGGATTTTCTGAGCCCTGTGTTTTGAGAGGAGATCTTGCTCATTGCCTTATTGCAT